AAGGGAACAACAGCGAGGTTGTGTCAGCTGGGGGCCAAGGAGGAGGCGACGAAGTTGTCACCAGGCAGCCCTCCTAGGGCTTATGCCTCAATTCCTCTTGCAGCCTGGTCCCCTTGTCCAGTGAGGTGTCAGATGTGCTTCTCTTGCAGTCAGAAGCAATGCCCAGTCCCCTGCACAGGGAAGCAGAAATCTTCCAGTTTGTGATGCTACAATTGTCTCCACAATCTTTGGTGCCTCTGCAGCTATTTCTGCCAAAGCGGCCAAATCTTGACGCCCCCGTCACCATCCATCAGCCCGCAGTCCAGGGAAATATGTGTGTTTGTGAAAAAGCAGCTGAGCCCCTGGGGAGTGTCTGGCCTTCTGGTGTACCAGTCTGACCTCTTCTCCTTTGCGGTGATGTTCGACAACCCTATGCACAACTCAGTGTTCCCACACCAGTATGCAGTGGAGATCTACACCACAACAGAGATTTTTGGGAACCTGGAGAGCCTCTACAAGTCCATGCGTAGTGACCGCCCTCAGTCCTGCTCCTACAGGAAAGAGCTGCTGAATAGAAACACCTCTTCCGTTGTTGTGTCCTCAGGGAGCTTCCAGATTTCTGCCACCATGTCCAACCATGACAAATCTGTCCTTAAAGTGCTCCTGGAGGAAATACCTGGCCCTCCACCTCAGTATGCTCCGTACGACTCTTCTCATCCCAACAGTAACTCTTCAAAGGAGATGCACCCTCTGGCTTTCTCCTACCTGAAGAAATAGGAACCCTCATGCATGTGGCCCAGAGGAAAGTGGAATGCCTCCCTTCCTTTGGGTACTACCGTGCAGAGTTTGGGGTGGATAGGATGTTGATTCTGCATGCATTGTGCTTGGCTACTTTTGCTTTCTGAATAGGAAATTGCTCAGCAGATGGTGAATGAGGTGAACAACACAGAGGGGATGCTGGCAGCAATCTGCAAAAGCACCGCTTAGAAATCTTGGCTGCGCAGATACCTGAATCAGCTTCGAACGGTATCATGCGGACACGGGAGACAGGGTTGAGCCCACAGTGCTTAGCCTAGTTCTGACCCATGCCTGTCCCAGGAGAGAGAGCTCCAGGCCAGGTAATACTCTCCATGCAGTATGTGCCATACAGATTGCCCCAAACACAGCCAATAAAATGCATAGCAAGACTGCGCACCTCCATCCCATTAGCCTATGCTGGCTGCAGGAGGACAGACTAAACTCAGTCAGCATAGACCCTGCCAGTGTAAGGTTAACCTGTCAAGAAATTGCTTAGCTTATTTAAACCAGCAGGTTGTGTTTAAACTGGCTCAGTCAACATGTGGCTATGGTGATTTTTGACATGGTGCTTGCAGCCTTAACACTGGATTTACTACATTTTTGGACCACGACATAGTTTGTAGCAATGTTCATTTTTATCAGAGCTGAAAATCAGTTTCTCCAACCCACATGCAAGTTTGTTTTTAATATCATCTTTATGTATATTTGACTCCCTTTTCACCAGGCCTGCCACCAAAAAGAAGCAAGCAATAGGCCATGTGAATCATTTCCATTTTTTACTCTGAAATTTGTCAAGACTTCCTCGTCTTTGTTTTCAAAGCTAATGAGTTAAGAAACATCAAAGAAAAAAGAAGAGTAAAACGAAGCTTTCTTCCAATAGCTGCTAGTCTCTCTTCTGGGGTTGGTGCTAATCAAAGGGAAAAGAAGAAAATAGCTGCTTTTTCCTCCTGGGCACACAACAGCTTCAATAAATGTTGTGATTACAGAACAAGCCTGTCTTGTGAGTTACTTGCACACACACAAACCAACAACCACTGTCCCTTGCAGGCGGTGCTGCCTGTAGTCTATCAAGTTCCACTTACAGTAATTTATGGCTTCGGGGCCATTTGTTCAGGTTGAAACTCTGTCTGCAGGGCAGCTGATCCAAGCCAGCTTACTTGGATGACTCATTTATTTATTTTCTTCAGTCTTTGATGTGTTTGGGTGGCTTTTAAGAACCATGATGGGAAGAAAAGAACTGTTATCTGTATTAAAACTTCCTGGACAGCATCCCTGTAACATGCACTTTGGCCTTTGCTGGGAAATCCCTGCATGCCAGGAACATGCCTGCTGCAATTCCCTGCCAAAAAAATAAATAAATAAAAAATCCAAACTGTTGCAGTTTAGCTAAGCACTGGTTCTTTCAAAAATCAGCGTATGGGAGAAAATGAGTGGGACATTCCTCCAGACACTGGGCACTGAGGGCCCCTTCACCTTGTGCTGGCTGTCTCCTGAGCTAGCCCAGCACCTTGATGAGTGCAGGATGCCTTCAAACACCACCACCGGGGTGGTGCTGGCTGGCTGCTGTGGGTAAGGGCAGACCCCTCTGCCTGCACCCATGCTGAGCTGCCAGGGGCTCTGTTCCCAGCATCCCAGTGCCAAAGTGTCCCTAGGTGGGCTCAGAGCCACAGATGGAATAAGAGGACAAAACAGGTTGCATGGCTGGAGAAGGAAAGGCTTGTGAAACCAGAGGATGGGGTGGGGTGGGGGGGAGGAGGAAGCAGGGCAGCCTGGCATGGGCGCATGCCGGGAGGGAAGCGGTGAAACCTCAGCTCTGTGTTGCTGCCGAAGATGAGACTGGAAAACCACAGCCCTGGGTGACAGTCACCTCCCCTCTTGTCGCTTCTCCTTGCAGTCCTGCTCCTGGCACAGGAGCACCCCACAGCCCTCCAAGCATGCAGCCATGCTTGCCCCAGGGTGACCTTCCCACCTCGTGCTAGCAGGAGCCTTGGCACAGGGTCCCAGGGTCCGTCCCCAGGGCAGAGCTGCCTGTGTAGGGGTTTTGCAAAGCCCAGCATCTCAGCACCCAAAAAGAGATGTGCCTTTTTCTCCCTCCCTGCCAGCTCAGAGCCCAGAGCAGTTCCTCATTCTGGGACCCTGGGCGCACAGGACGCAGCACGGCCGGCCTCACCCTGTCATGGTCCCCGTCCTTGTCTTTGGTGAGTACCGGGGAGAAGAGTGGGGATTGCTGGCTGTAGGTCTCTCCCTGATGAACTGCATGTCTCTTGCAGGCTGGTGGCTGGTGGTCCAGAGCAGAGTGCAAGCACGTGAGTACAGGCCTGGGTCATGGGCAGCACCAGCCACTAGGACCCTTCTCCAAAGCCATCTGCACAGGGGCCCTGACCACCCCCTGGGACCCACTGGACCTGGATATGGGCACCCCCCACTGTCCCCCTTGGGATGCCACAGGGAGGGTCAGGGCACACCGCGGGTAAGAAAGAAAGGGGGTGTCTGGTTCTCTGCAGAGTAGAGTTTCTCAAGCTCGCTCCTGTCTCCCCTACCCCAGAGCCAGGACTATCCCTGTCGCTGAGCCCCAGCCACGAGGTGGCCCTGGGGGACAGAGTGACCCTGCAGTGCCACACACCCAGACGGGGTGGAAGGGCCACCCTGCACAAGGAGAGAGTCCCACATCCCCTGTGGTATCAAGATGGGGTGTGGGGTGCGGTGGAGTTCCCCATCCCAGCAGCCAGACGGAAAGACGCCGGGAGATACTGGTGCCAATATGAGATCGAGGGTGAACCGCCGGAGGAGAGTGAGCCTGTGGAGCTGGTGCTCAGAGGTGAGGAGTGAAGCTCAGCACCACACAGGGTAGGGCCCAGGGTCCCCCAAGTGGGCTCTGGGGGTGCTCCCATGAAAGCAAGAGGGTGCCTGGGTGGGTCCACATATGGGTTGGCAGTGTCCAGGGGTCCCCAAGGGGCAGGCTGTGCCTGAGCATCCTTAGGGGGCAACAGTGCCTGAAGATCCCAGCAGGGATCACTGCAGGGAAGCAGTGCCGAGGGGGGGGAGGCAGTACCAGCACAGGCGGGGCAATGGCTGTGGCTGTGGGGCTCCCATGTCTCACTGCCTGCCCCTTCCCCATGCAGATCCCAAATACCCCCGACCTCGCATCTTCCTGAGCTCTGGATCGCTTGTGGCACTGGGGACCCACGTCACCATCCTGTGCCAGGGTGGGCATGGAGCCACCTTCTTCCTGCACAGAGAGGGCAGCTCAGCACCCATCCAGCGCCAGGCCCCTGGGGGGCACATGGCCTTGTTCTCTATCCCTGACATGAGCTGGGCGGACAGTGGGGCCTACAGCTGCTCCTACCGTCCCCGGGGTGAGATGTTTATGTCATCGTACCCCAGTACCTTCTTGGAGCTGGAGGTGGAAGAAAAGGAGGAGGAGTCCGGTTCAGCCTTCCTCCCAGGTAGGGCTGTGCTCCCTGGGCTGCCTGGGAACCATGGGGGGATAGTTCTCAGGGATGGGCAAAGGGGGGGGTGGGGGGGGGGGCTCCTATCCCTGCCATCTGCCAGGGGCTATGGATCCAGGCCCCCCCAGGGACCACCCTACCATGGCAAGACTGGACCAGGCACCCCTTTCTGCAGGGGGTCTGACCCCACAGCCCCCTCCAGGAGCCCTGAATAGGGGGCCGGCAGAGATGGTGGAAGGGGCCTTGCCCCATCTCATCCCTGCTCTGCCCCCCAAAACACACCCTCCCTTTCCGCAGCATCCCCTGATGCCATGCCAGCATGGTCAGCATGGTCCGTGCCACCCCAGGGATCACCAAGGCCAAACACCATGGTCCCCCACCCATCAGCCACAGGGTCCTCCTGCCCCAGCACCTCCAGGGATGAAGATCCGGGTAAGGGGGAAACAGAGCCACCAAATTCCTTTGCTTGGGGTCCCAGACCTCTGTGGAGGACATGGGGAGTAGTGGGGGGCTCACAGGTGGGTAGGGGGCAATGGTTGGGGAGGTGAAGGGTGGCAGTGGAGGGGTGCACTGGATAGACAGGAGCAGTGGGGAACAAGAGGGTGGGGAGTGCTGGCAGCGCAGGGAACAGAGAGGACAATGAGAGTTGAAGGGGGTGTAGGTGATGCAGGGATGGGTGGGGAGCGCTGGGTGGTATAGAGAGGCCGGTGGTACTGAGGGGTGCAGGGTGGCCTGCGGGATCTTAGGATGCAGGGGAAGAGTGGGGCAAATGGGGGAGTGCAAGGGGGTGGCAGAAAGGAGTAGGGACGTGCAAAGGGTGGGGAGAGCGCTGGAGTACAGAGGTGGGCACCAGGGGTGCAGGGGGCAAAGTGGGGAGGGGACCTGGAGGGCCAGAAAAGGGCAATTGAATCCTGAGGGACTTCCATGGGACTAAGCCACCAAATCCCCTATCCCCCAGTGACACCCTCCTCTTTCTCTGTCCCTTCAGATTTCACCCTGGGCAACACCGTGCGCCTGGGATTAGGCGCAGGGCTCCTGATCCTGCTGACATTCCTCGTGGCTGAGGCCCTGTGCAGCCGGAGGCGGAAAGGGCTCTAGCCTAGCACCCCCATGGCTACCCCTTTCAGCCCCACAGGACTTGGGGGGGTCCCTGTCCCACTCCTCTCTACTTGGACCCAGCCTCAGTCCTCTTTGCATCCCCATTAAATCCGTTGCTGCTCCCTGTGGTTGTCCCTTCGTTCTTGCACCCTGGGGACCCAGAGGGGTAGCAGGCTCAAAGGCAGACCAGGGGGCTATGGGACAAGGGATAGACAGCCAGGGGGCTGGATGGAGAAACTGGGGTCTCTGGGACACATATTCCCCATTGCACTGCTGTGCCCAACACCCCCAGCCAGGGGAGAGGAACTGGGGGACACATCCCAGACACCACAGAGCAACCCAGGTGCTGGAATTGCAGCTGGTTCATGCATCTGGGCTCTGACTCCCAGCACCTGGGAATGGGAATGGGAATGGGAATGGGTCCCTGGGGTGGGTTTCGTGCAGGTCGGGAATATATCCTGTGCTGAAGACCACGTGCTCATGCTGAATGGGTGACAGTGCCTTAGGAACCGTGTGAACCATGTGCCTATGCAGGCGACACTGTCCTGGGTGTCCACATGCTGCATTTGAAGGTCCTCCTCAAGGAGGTCAGGGTGCTCAGCACAGGCCAGTTTAGCCCAGCTCAATCACAGAACCACAGAATAGGTGAGGTTGGAAGGGACTGGAGATGGTCGAGCCTAACCTCTCTGTTCAAGCAGGGTCACCTAGAGCACGTTGTCCAGGACCCTCTCCAGATGGCTTTTGAATATCTCCAAGGATATAGACTCCACAAGCTCTCTGGTCAACCTGAGCCAGTGCTCTGTTACCCAGAGCCCTGCCCTGCCCAAACTGTACCACTCCATCCCTGGAGCAGCTCTGCCCACCCACATTGGAGTCGCTCACAGGCAGCTGGTCCCTGTGGCACCAGGGGGGTTGCAGAAAGTTGGCCGCAGGCAGGCTAGGGCCTGCAGCTGGGGAAAAAAGGGCAAAACAGCCTGGAAAGAGGACAGCGTGTCCCAGCTGTTTGAGAAAAAGGCTTGTGAAACCGGAGGAAGAGGGTGGGAGCAGCACAGCTTGGCGTGGGTGCCTGCTGACAAATTACAGCCCTGGAAAACTCCTTCTGCGATGACAAGCCACCACATCCAAAAGCTTGAGGTTGCCACTGCCAGACCTACGCTGTGTGTGTTGTGTCCATCTCAACAAAAGGAGGAACCGATACTGCCCTTTGCCAGAAGGGGAGGGAGAAAGGGAACACGAGGCTTCCTGGTTATGACTTGGAGGATTAACTCACACACAGGGAGCAGAGATAATCACCAAAAACACAAAATACACCCTTGGGCCCCTGAGGACAACATCCTGCAGCTCTGCAGAAAAGGAGCTGGGGGTCCTGGCAGAGAACAAGTTGACCAAGACTCAGCTGTGGGCCCTTTCTGCAAGGCTGTGAGAGCACACCCGGACTTTGCATCCAGTTTTGGGCTCCCCAGTACAAGAAGGACCAAGGCATAGTGGAGTGATTCTGGTGGAGACCATCAAGATGGTCACAGGGGGCTGGAGCACACGCGGTCCAGCAAGAAGCTGAAGGAACTAGGCTTCTTCAGCCTGGAGAAGCGTAGTCATAGGACGAGCAGCAACGGGCATATCATGCAACAGGGGGAAATTCCTATTAGCTACAAACTGTTTTCTGCTGAGTCAACCACTGCGACAGAGACCAGAGAGGTTGTGGGAGCTCCATAGTTGGAGGTATCCAAAAAGCTGGAGAAGACCATGAGCAACCTGCACTAGGGGATCTACTCTGATGAGAGGTTTGGACCCTCCCGCTATTAAAAAATGTTAGAGATGAAAAAAAAAGGAACAGATGGGGAGCAGCAGAGGGGAAAGCCACATGGGCAAGTTCCACGTGATGTGGCAGGGTTGCGTGCTTGGCAGAGAAAGCCGGGTGAGCAATCCGATAAAGTTGGTGGACTTGTGAAAGCAGCTAGCAATAAACCAGTCGTTAAAATTCCCCGTGGAACAAGCTTAGAGGATAAAAGCTGCAGCAGGAAAGCAATGTTGAGGGTGTGTTTCAGAGGTGACACCAGCGCAGAGATACCAGCTGCAAACGTGGCCAAACTAGCACCGCAACATGGGAACAAGAGGCCAGCTCAACAGCTCAGGTGTGATTTCCAACAGGAAGCATCTCAGGACTAGGAGAGACCAAGAGAAGATCCAGGACGCATCTTGTGCATGTGCTTGGCATGCAGACACATGCCCAGCACACACAGACACACATACTCTAGGCATGTGCTTGGTGTGCAGGCACACAGCTTGCATGTGCAGACACGCATGCTCTAGGCATGTGCTTGGTGTGCAGGAATGTGCCCTGCCCATATGGACACGGATGCTCTAGGCATGTGCTTGGTGTGCAGGTATGCGCTCTGCATGTGTGGATGCACATGCTCTAGATATGTGCTTGACATCAAGCATGCACCATGCACATGGGGACATGCATGCTCGAGGCATGTGCTTGGCATGCAGGCATGCATGCTGCACATACAGGCATGTGTGCTCTAGGCGTGTGCTTGGCATGCACCCTGCCTATACGGCCACACATGCTCGAGGCATGTGCTTGGTGTGCAGGCATGCTCTAGTCATCTGTTTGGTGTGCACACACGTGCCCTGCCCATATGGACACACATGCTCGAGGCATGTGCTTGGTGTGCAGGCATGCACTCTGCCCATATGGACACGCACACTCTAGGCTTATGCTTGGCATGCAGGAATCCACCCTGCATGTGCAGACACACATGCTCTAGGCATGTGCTTGGCGTGCAGGCACACAACCTGCATGTGCAGACATGCATGCTCTAAGCGTCTACTTGGCATTCAGGCACCCACCTTGCACGTGCACATATACATGCTCTAGGCATGTGTTTGGTGTGCAAGCACACGTCCTGCCCATATGGACACACATTTTCAAGGCATGTGCTTGGCGTGCAGGCACGCACTCTGCATGTGCAGACATACATGCTCCAGGCATGTGCTTGGCATGCACACACATGCCCTGCCCATATGGACACACATGCTCGAGGCATGTGCTTGGTGTGCAGGCATGCACTCTGCCCATATGGACACGCATGCTCTATGCTTATGCTTGGCATGCAGGAATCCACCCTGCACGTGCAGACATGCATGCTCCAGGCATGTGCTTGGCGTGCAGGCACGCACCCTGCACGTGCAGACACGCATGTTCGGCGGGGGCGGGGAAGAGCAAGATACCTCACGCATGCGTACAGCTCCCCTGCGCCTGGAGGTCTCCGCGCATGCTCCGCTTCCCCCCCTCCTTCCCCGGGGAGGGCGCTCTGCGCATGCGTACGCGCCCGCAGGGGACGGCGGTGGCCCGCCCACCCCTTCGCCGGAAGTGGCGTCAAGCGC